TTGAGCTGGAGGACCTACCCGACCACGTGGTGCATCTGCAGCTGTAGTAAGGTAGAGGATTAACACCCAGGTACAACGGCCATCCAGACAGAGGGCGCCAACATCAGGTCACAAGAATGTTTACAAGTCCAGTTAAAACATTACCAGATCTATAGTTAATTTATATGTTGACTCTGTTTCTTATATTTTTGTATTGAAAGCTTTTCTCAATCAAGTGACCCACTCCCCGCTTCCACCATATGTAACCTATCACCTCTGTTCATTGTATATTTTCAGGCTTTGGGCTGCCGTGTTATCTTAAAGAACAGTTAAATATTATTATTATTATAATAGTATTTTTGTGTCTTCTAGTGCATCATTATCATAGTTGGAATGCACTAATAACCCCAAATGGTCTGAAAAATGGCAGATGAAATTCAATGTGGACAAATGTAAAGTACTCAGTATAGGAGATGTAAACAGGGAAACCAGTTACCAGATGAACAACGATGCCATTGAGAAATCCGACTGCGAGAGAGATTTAGGAGCAAAGTAAACAATGTGTTTTTGCTCGTAACAAGGCTAATAAAGTACTTGGGTTCATACAAAGGAGTGTTAGTTACAAGACTAGCGAGGTCATCTTAAGACTATATCTTGCGCTTGTGAGACCTCACTTGGATTAAGCAGTTCAGTTCTGGTCACCGTATTACAGAATGGACATAGAATCCTTGGAAAGAATCCAGAGGAGAATGACAAGACTAATCCAGGACATTAGGAACCTTGAGTACAGAGACAGGTTAAAGCATCTTAATTTGCACTCCCTCGAGAGACGTAGAGCAAGGGGCGACATGATAGAGGTGTATAAATGGAAGTCAGGGCTAAACAAAGGGGATATTACAAAGGTACTCAAACTATCCAACCAGGAGCGAACTCGTAACAATGGTTTTAAATTAGACAAATTTAGATTTAGGCGTGAGAAAGGTAAACACTGGTTTGGAAATATAGTGGATGAGTGGAACAAGTTACCAAACATCATCATTAACTCGAATACGCTGGATAGCTTCAAACATAGGTTGGATACTTATATGAGCAATAGGGTTTGGGTGTAAATGGGACTGCCCAGTATGAGCCAATAGGCCCGCTGCAGTTTCCTCCATTCTTATGTTCTTGCCTCACTCCCACGACCACGTTCGAGTGCCTCCTCTTACGGCATGAGGTGGGGTATATAGTACAAGGCAGTGATAACCATTTCACAAGTTTGGGTTATCGGTGACATTTTCACCCATCAACAACTTAATAAACACACACCAACGTACATCTGTCTCTCTCTCACACATACACACATATATCCATCTCACACACACACACATATCCATCTCTCATACACACACACATATATATCGATCTCTCATACACACACACATACACACATATCCATCTCTCTCACACACACACATATCCATCTCACATACACACACACATATCCATCTCACACACACACACACATATCCATCTCTCATACACACACACACACATATCCATCTCTCACACACACGCAAATACACCCACACATATCCATCTCTCACACACACACAAATACACCCACACATATCCATCTCACACACACACATATCCATCTCTCACACACACACACACACCCACACATATCCATCTCTCTCTCACACACACACAAATACACCCACACATATCCATCTCTCTCTCTCCCACACATACATATCCATCTCTCTCTCTCTCTCACACACACACACATATCCATCTCTCTCTCACACACCCACACATATCCATCTCTCTCTCACAGACCCACACATATCCATCCCTCTCTCTCTCTCCCTCTCCCACACACACATGGAACAGTCTACCAGCCTAAGTTATGGACCCTTAGAACAGTACTGGGCTTTAAAACAGCCATTGACAACATTACCAGGAACAATGGAACGATCCTACACAGGCCACTGACCTCCTGACCTCAGCATGACCATCTCAACTGAATGATCATGAGGTAAATAATTTCAATATCCACACACACACAACCCCCTCCCCCCATACACAAACCCACCCACTTACCCCCTGCCCCCCCCATACACAAACCCACCCACTTACCCCCCTGCCCCCCCCATACACAACCCACCCACTTACCCCCTGCCCTCCCCCCCATACACAAACCCACCCACTCTACCCCCCCGCCCTCCCCCCATACACAAACCCACCCACTTACCCCCGCCTCCCCATACACAAACCCACCCACTTACCCCTGCCTCCCACACAAACCCATTCTGACCCATCCATATCCAAACGGCATATACACTCATTCACCCCTCACCATCTCAAGTGCTCACCTTCAAGCACAGGTATGGGAAACTACAGGTGTTAATCATCACTTTATAATTTTTCCTTGTTGACTGAAGATAAGAGTGTGAGTGTGTGTGTGTGTGTGTGTAATAATAATAATAATAATAATAATAATAATAATAATAATAATAATAATAATAATAATAATAATTAACGGTTTATTGAAAAAATTCTGCAGCCCAAAGGCAGAAAATATCCATTGGACATAAATGACTTTTTACATACATTGGTGGTTTAACAAAAGCCTTCATTAGAGAACGGTAAAGGAACATACAGTGAACATACAGATTAATGTAGGTGTTGAACAGCAAACTCGTAGTGTAGTAACTCCCTCCCAGATGGTGTTAGGATGAACTCACGTGGTGTAGTAGTTCCCTCAGATGATGTTATGAGGGACCTGGCGTGGTATAGTAATTCCCTCGCAGATGGTGTTATGAGGGGCCTCACGTGGTGTAGTAATTACCTCACAGATGGTGTTATGAGGGACCTCACGTGGTGTAGTAATTACCTCACAGATGGTGTTATGAGGGGCATCACGTGGTGTAGTAGTTCCCTCACAGATGGTGTGATGAGGGACTTGACGTGGTGTAGTAATTCCCTCACATATGGTGTTATGAGGGACATGTGGTGTAGTAATTCCCTCACATATGGTGTTATATGAGTGAGGTTTGGTCTTAGGCCTTCCTGTCGTAGACGGATTAACACATCTCTGGTTGTTGTTGGGTCTCACGGGCCGTTATCACTGGGTACCTGGGACCTCACTGTGGGTTAACTTGGGTAAGACTATTACTGTTGAGTTGTTCTCACTGACTTAAGCACTGTTCACCTCTGTTCACCTCTGTTTAACACTGGTTCCGTTCCTTTCCTAAATGAAATTGTAACTTCTGGCGAGAACTTGTTGATACTCCGGTGGGGAGGAGGGTTCAGGGGAGGGGGTTGGTATGGGCCAACTTAACAGTTGACCTGGCTGCTCCGAGAGGAGCGCCAGGTACGTCTTGAGCCTTCGGTGGTCAAGGATGTAGTGTGTGTGTGTGTGTGTGTGTGTGTCTTAATACTGAATAATTATAATACAGGGTAGTTGAAATAATTATACCCTCTACCACCCAAATTATACCATCACCATTATACACACACTAACAGAACCAAAATTATACCAATTATACACTAAGTCATGAAAATTATACCACCTATCACCATTATACACTGAATCTTCCTCATCATTATACAAGGATACATCACCTATCATAAAGAGTACAGAGACAATTTGCTATCAGTCATATTTCTTTCCAGGTAATGGTAAGGGACAGGTGTTGACTCCCACAGAGATTGAATCACCATGTACAGTAACTTGTGCAGCCCAATAATAATAATAATAATAACATTAAAAGTACATGTAATAATAATAATAATAATAATAATAATAATAATAATAATAATAATAATAAAGAACCAAAGAAAACGAATAACAAAATTAAATACAGGTACAGCAAAATAATGTCAATCTGTCGGAACTTACAATACGTCTCAGCTGTTTGGGGAAAAATACATCACGTGACGATAAGAGTCCATTAAGAATTCCCCAAAACCAGATTCTCAGAGTTACATGAGAAAAATTGCTCTCTAAAACGGAAATTCAAGTACAGTCAAATTGTCTCACGTAAGCCACGATAAAAAAGTGGATTCTCAAAAGTTCCTAAGTTCAATTTTCCTCCTAACTGGTGGTGTGAGAACGTATCTAACTGACTCACTTAAGCTACCACACAAAGATGGATTCTAAAAGGTTCCTAAGTTCAATTTTCCTTCTAACTGATGATGTGAGAACGTATCTAACTGACTCACTTAAGCTACCACACAAAGATGGATTCTAAAAGGTTCCTAAGTTCAATTTTCCTTTTAACTGATGATGTGAGAACGTATCTAACTGACTCACTTAAGCTACCACACAAAGATGGATTCTCAAAAGTTCCTAAGTTCAATTTTCCTTCTAACTGATGATGTGAGAACGTATCTAACTGACTCACTTAAGCTACCACACACAAAAATCATCCAAAATAACACCAAACTTACACTGAGACTCTACCTTACTAAGTTACATTCACTTAACACAAATTAGAACACAAAATTATGATGTAAAGGCTAGGTGAAATCTAACCCTGAGTAGTTCACGGTCTGGCTGAATGATGGCGCTGAGGTTGTCTGTAAAGGCATCTGTCTGTCTGGATACTGAGAAAGGCATCTGTCTGTTTATCCGTGTCTGTATCTCTATCTAACCTTCCTTGCCTCTGTCTGTGTAGGGTACTAAGAAACTTGTCTGTCTGTCTGTGTCAACAGGACAGGTGTCTATAAATCAATCTGCCTGTGTCTCAGAATGGCATGTAATCAGTACTGTACTCCTTTACTTTACATGTCTTTGTCAATCTATCTATGTAATGAGAAATAAAAACATAAATAAAACAATTAAAAATCAATTAAAACAAGAATATACACACACACAAAAAAAAATCCTAGATAAATAACATAAAATATAAATAAAAACATCAACTAAAAAAATCTGGCATTTCCCACAAGCAGAAGTTGCCATTTGCCACTATCTTCTGCCGGGTATATATAAAGCACCGTGTGACTCCTCTAGCATCATTTAGCTCCGAGCCATGTGGAGGAGCATAGCCATTCTCCTAGTGCTGGTGGCTGGGGGCTGTGTCTTAGCTACATGGACTGTTAGTGACCCTGACTTGGTTGGAATACTCTGCCCGGGAGAGGTAAATTACGTTAAGCTTTGGTGAGACGGGAGGGGGGGGGTTCCTCGTTAAGCTTTGGTGAGATGGGGGACAATTTCTTCATTAAGCTTTGGTGAGATGGGGGACAATTTCTTCATTAAGCTTTGGTGGGCAGGACAATTTCTTCATTAAGCTTTGGTGAGGAGGAGACAGGTTACTAGTTATTTGTGGGGTAAAGAGGTTTTCTTAAGCTTTGATGGGGGTAAAGAGGTTTCTCTTGCTTTGGTGGGGGTAAAGAGGTTTTTGCTTTTGTGGGGGTAAAGAGGTTTCTTGCTTTTGGTGGGGTAAAGAGGTTTCTCATTAAGCTTTGGTGAGGGACAAGTTCCTCGTTGCTTTGGTGGGGGGTAAAGAGGTTTCTTTAAGCTTTGGTGGGGGTAAAGAGGTTTCTCATTAAGCTTTGGTGAGGAGACAAGTTCCTCGTTGCTTTGGTGGGGTAAGAGGATTCTCATTAAGCTTTGTGAGGAAGTTCCTCGTTGCTTTTGAGGTAAATAGGTTTCACATTAAGCTTTGGTGAGGGGAGATACAAGCTTCACATTAAGCTTTGGTGGGGGTAAAGAGGATTCTCAATAAGCTTTGGTGAGGGGACAAGTTCCTCATTAAGCTTTGGTGAGGGAGGGGAGACAAGCACCTGGTTTAGTTTTAGTTGCGTAGACACATCCCTCAATAAGCTTTGGCAGGGTAGGCAAGTTTCTCACTAAAGCTTGTTAGAAGTAAACAGTTTATATATCATTTAAATGTATCTGAACAACGTATGCATACTGATAACACAGGTACAGTATACATTTCAGCATGTATACAGTCATTAACAGGTACACAGTTCAGCATGTATACAGTCATTAACAGGTACACAGTTCAGCATGTATACAGTCATTAACAGGTACACAGTTCAGCATGTATACAGTCATTAACAGGTACACAGTTCAGCATGTATACAGTCATTAACGGGTACACAGTTCAGCATGTATACAGTCATAACAGGTACACAGTTCAGCATGTACAAATAACAGGTACACAGTTCAGCATGTATACAGTCATTAACAGGTACACAGTTCAGCATGTATACAGTCAAACAGGTACACAGTTCAGCATGTATACAGTCATTAACAGGCACAGTTCAGCATGTATACAATTACACAGGTACACAGTTCAGCATGTATACAGGAATTAACAGGTACACAGTTCAGCATGTATACAGTCATTAACAGGCAAGTTCAGCATGTATACAGTCATTAACAGGTACACAGTTCAGCATGTATACAGTCATTAACAGGTACACAGTTCAGCATGTATACAGTCATTAACAGGTACACAGTTCAGCATATACAGTCATTAACAGGTACACAGTTCAGCATGTATACAGTCATTAACAGGCACAGTTCATGTATACAGTCATTAACAGGTACACAGTTCAGCATGTATACAGTCATTAACAGGTACACAGTTCAGCATGTATACAGTCATTAACAGGTCACAGTTCAGCATGTATACAGTCATTAACGGGTACACAGTTCAGCATGTATACAGTCATTAACAGGTACACAGTTCAGCATGTATACAGTCATTAACAGGTACACAGTTCAGCATGTATACAGTCATTAATAGTACAGTTCAGCATGTATACAGTCATTAACGGGTACACAGTTCAGCATGTATACAGTCATAACAGGTACAAGTTCAGCATGTATACAGTCATTAACGGGTACACAGTTCAGCATGTATACAGTCATTAACGGGTACACAGTTCAGCATGTATACAGTCATTAACAGGTACACAGTTCAGCATGTATACAGTTATTAACAGGTACACAGTTCAGCATGTATACAGTCATTAACAGGTACACAGTTCAGCATGTATACAGTCATTAACAGGTACACAGTTCAGCATGTATACAGTCATTAACAGGTACACAGTTCAGCATGTATACAGTCATTAACAGGTACACAGTTCAGCATGTATTCAGTCATTAACAGATACACAGTTCAGCATGTATACAGTCATTAACGGGTACACAGTTCAGCATGTATACAGTCATTAACAGGTACACAGTTCAGCATGTATACAGTCATTAACAGGTACACAGTTCAGCATGTACACAGTCATTAACAGGTACACAGTTCAGCATGTATACAGTCATTAACAGGTACACAGTTCAGCATGTATACAGTCATTAACAGGTACACAGTTCAGCATGTATACAGTCATTAACAGGTACACAGTTCAGCATGTATACAGTCAAGCTTTTATCTATATATAGTGAAGTACCTTGATGCTATTTCAATGGACATTCTAAATACTGCGATGAAAAACCTATGGCATCCAGACGCTAGGAGACAAATTTTGTGTCTCCTGATGGAGTTTCTTTCATAGGGGGAGACTCGAGATCATGAATGGATAACACGTGAGGCGATCAGACGAAATATCCGCGACTTCTTCCTGAAATATCCGCCAGCACCCGATTTCGTGGTGTCTGAAAATGCCACGCTGACGGAACTCTTCCATAGCTACTACGGCCCCACCTCCTCCCCCACCAGGTTTATCAAGGCTGTCAATTCCATCGCAGCCGCCAACGTCAAGGCTGATTCGTTACAGCAGTACAGGTGTGTTTTAATGAGTTGCTTATGTAGAAAATACTAGTACAGAATCGATTACATGGTACAGCAGATGTGTTATTGGTTGTCATTAGTAGATGGATCTCTCTCTCTCTCTCTCTCTCTCTCTCTCTCTCTCTCTCTCTTACACCACCGCACTATCACCAGGTACGACCCGGCCATACAGGGAGACGGTGAACGTCTGGCGGAGGTCCAGTCCAAACTCACCGCCCGCTACCCGAAAATCCTCACCTCCATCCTACGCGACCAGGCTTACTCCGCCGCTCGCTCACTCCTCGGCACCTCCCTCCACACACTCCAGAAATTCTACTCCCACTCAACCTGGGTCGAACAAGGTCACGATGGCATACTGAAGGAGTTGGGCATCCCGGGCTATGTCTTGGATGGCCTAGCGGGGGAAGAGGAAGACGTCTGTGTACCTTGCCCCAATCCAGAGGTAAAGATGCGAGTAATTACAGTACTCAAATCCCATTCCCACATTCCCATTCCAGTCGAGAATAGTGACCCGACTTGAAAGCTATTTTAACTATTAGACACAGTACTAATGGGTTGTACTCTTTGCTTTTGTTGGGGCCTGTTAGGACTGGCCCCTAATAGGACTGGAGCCTATTTACACTGGAACCTACTAGGATTGGAACCTGTTAGGATTGGGCCCTAATAGGACTGAAGTCAATTAACACTGGGGTCTATTATAATTAGGGCTAATTTGCACTTGGGTCTACTTGCACTGTCCCTGGGATCTAATAAGCATGGGGTCTAGCAAACATGGGGTCTAGCAAGCATGGGGTTTAGCAAGCATGGGGTCTAGCAAGCATGGGGTCTAGCAAGCATGGGGTCTAGCAAGCATGGGGTCTAAAGGAGCATGGGGTCTAGCAAGCATGGGGTGGGTCTAGAGAGAGCATGGGGTCTAGCAAGCATGGGGTCTAGTAAGCATGGGGTCTATAAAGCATGGGGTCTAGCAAGCATGGGGTCTAGCAAGCATGGGGGTGGGTCTAGAGAGCATGGGTCTAGCAAGCATGGGGTCTAGCAAGCATGTGTGGTCTAGTACATGTGTCTAGGCACATGGGGTCTAGCAAGCATGGGGTCTAGGCGAGCATGGGGTGGGTCTAGAGAGCATGGGGTGGGTCTAGAGAGCATGGGGTCTAGCACACATGGGGGTCAAGCGAGCATGGGGTTAATAAGCATGGGGTCTAGCACACATGGGGTCTAGTAAGCATGGGGTCTAGTAAGCATGGGCTCTAGTAGAACTGGGGTCTAGGAGGACAGGGGTCTAATAAACGTAGGGTCTAGTAGATCAGGAGCCCTCAACACTAACACTAACAATGTAACAGGGGTGTGATGGCAACGTGCTGGAGAAGGCAGGTCTCAGTACTGGCTACTATGTGTATCCTGACGACATCGGCAGCGACTACCTCATTCCTAAGCCTTCTACAGGTGAGTCTTCTGAACCCATAACTACCTCATTCCTAAGCCTTCTACAGGTGAGTCTTTTGAACCCATAACTACCTCATTCCTAAGCCTTCTACAGGTGAGTCTTCTGAACCCATAACTACTTCATTCCTAAGCCTTCTACAGGTGAGTCTTCTGAACCCACAAGTACCTCATTCCTAAGCCTTCTACAGGTGAGTCTTCTGAATCCATAACTACCTCATTCCTAAGCCTTCTACAGGTGAGTCTTCTGAACCCATAACTACCTCATTCCTAAGCCTTCTACAGGTGAGTCTTCTGAACCCACAACTACCTCATTCCTAAGCCTTCTACAGGTGAGTCTTCTGAACCCATAACTACCTCATTCCTAAGCCTTCTACATGTGAGTCTTCTGAACCCATAACTACCTCATTCCTAAGCCTTCTACAGGTGAGTCTTCTGAACCTACAACTACCTCATTCCTAAGCCTTCTACAGGTGAGTCTTCTGAACCCACAAGTACCTCATTCCTAAGCCTTCTACAGGTGAGTCTTCTGAACCCACAACTACCTCATTCCTAAGCCTTCTACAAGTGGTCTTCTGAACCTGTAACTACTGTTCCTAAGCCTTCTACAGGTGAGTCTTCTGAACCCATAACTACCTCATTCCTAAGCCTTCTACAGGTGAGTCTTCTGAACCCATAACTACCTCATTCCTAAGCCTTCTACAGGTGAGTCTTCTGAACCCACAAGTACCTCATTCATAAGCCTTCTACAGGTAAGTCTTCTGAACCCATAACTACCTCATTCCTAAGCCTTCTACAGGTGAGTCTTCTGAACCCATAACTACCTCATTCCTAAGCCTTCTACAGGTGAGTCTTCTGAACCCCTTTTATTAGTATATTTAAACACTCACCAAGAACCCTATAAGCACTATGCAATCTGAGAACTGAACTTAGAATCTGAAACCATTCCTAGATGACAAGTCCTATTTTGCTCAATCTCACACCCACTGTATCCATGTGTAGAAGTGTACCTACTGTAATATTTGTACCTATTCTGTATTTCTGAATGAACAATTCCTGTACTTTTGTTTCTGATAAATAATGTGACTGTAACTGTAATACACTAATACATCTCATTAAATAAAGCTTGTATATGTACCTGGTTCTTTGTAACTGTATTGGTGTTACTGAATTAATAAGATCTCTGTACTGTACCAGATAATGGGGCCAATTACTGTAATCTTGTAATGGCAATGGATTATGATTACTGTGTACTCATAATTGTAATCGTAATCCAAACATTCATTCCTATGTAATCATAACTGTAATACATCTACAATTACAGTCTGTGATTGTAATTGTAATTATGATTTTCCCCCCAAAAAATCGTCATGTACTTTGATTACAATATGAATACAAGTGAATTAGGTCGTTGTAATCTGTACTTGAGTATAGATTAGGCTGGGTATACAAGTTCCTCTCTTCCCGTTCCCGTTCCCCAGTGTTTGGTTAGGTTAGCATTAGGGTGTTTCATCTTCAGGTGATATAAGCTGGGGTGAGGGAAGGTGGGGGGAGGGGGGAGGAGGGGAGGGGAGTGGAGGGAAGGGGGGGGAGGGGGAGGAGGGGAAGGTGGGGGGGGAGGGGGGAGGGAGGGAAGGTGGGGGAGGGGGGGGAGGAGGGAAGGTGGGGGAGGGGGGTAAGGGAAGGTGGGGGAGGGGGAGGAGGGAAGGTGGGGGGAGGGGGGGGTGGAGGGAAGGTGGGGGAGGGGAGGAGGGAAGGTGGGGAGGGGAGGAGGGAAGGTGGGGGAGGGGAGGAGGGGAAGGTGGGGGAGGGAGGGAGGGAAGGTGGGGGGAGGGGGAGTGAGGGAAGGTGGGGGGAGGGGAGTGAGGGAAGGTGGGGAGGGGAGGAGGGAAGGTGGGGGAGGAGGGGAAGGTGGGGGGAGGGGAAGTGAGGGGAAGGTGGGGGGAGGGGGATGAGGGGAAGGTGGGGGGAGGGGTGGAGGGGGGGGAGGGGGGAGAGGGGAGGGGGGAGGGAGGGGAGGGGGGAGGGAGGGAAGGTGGGAGGGGGAGGGGAGTGAGGGAAGGTGGGGGGGGAGGGGGGGAGGAGGGAAGGGGGGAGTGAAGGAAGGTGGGGGGGAGGGGGAGGGAGGGAAGGTGTGGGGAGGGGGGTGGAGGGCGTGAGGGGAGGGGAGAGGGAAGGTGGGGGGGAGGGGGGGTGGAGGGAAGGTGGGGGGAGGGGGAGAGGGAAGGTGGGGGGAGAAGGTGGGGGAGGGGTGAGGGAAGGTGGGGGGGGAGGAAGGTGGGGGGGAGGGGGGGGAGGAGGGGAAGGTGGGGAGGGGGAGTGAGGGAAGGTGGGGGAGGAGGAGGGAAGGTGGGGGGAGGGGGTGAGGGAAGGAGGGGGGAGGGGTGTATGTGTGATAATCTTCAGGTGATCCGATAAATTGTCCCCAGGTGGTAAGTGTAGTCACGGAGGCTCACTAGACACCAGCAGAAGTGAACCTGCTATTGGTGGCATCAACAAGGACACTTCCTACCCCTGCTTCTCCCCCCACCACCACCTCCACCTTCAGGCTGCTGATCTTGCTGTCAAGGTAACCTAACATAACCTAACATAACCTAACATAACCTAATCTAACGTAATCTAAACTTAATTCAACTTAACCTAACTTTTAACTCTTGATGTCCAGGTAACTTAACAAAACCTAAACTAACCTTGATGCCTAGGCAACAAAACTTAACCTAACGTAACTTTTAAGTTTATGTAATTTAACTTAACCAAACTTTAACGTCCAGGTAATTCAATTTTCCCAAAGATAACCTTGATGTCCATATAACCTAACCTAACCAAAGATAACCTTAATGCTCATATAACCTAACTTAACCCAACCAAATCTAACCTAACCCAACCAAATCTAACCTAACATAACCTAACCTAAAATAGCACTGATGCCCATATAACCTAACCTAACCTAACCATACTGACCAGGCCACACAGTATTACCTGGACCGGGTGCTAGATGCAGTTGGGGTGGACATGTACAGAAGATTCTATGATCTATATGAAGGCTCGGCTCTCTCTATCTGCATTGATACTACAGGTGAATTCGCTCTCTTTCCTCTCTCTCTCTTTCTCTTGAACAGGTGCTCTCTCTCTCTCTCTCTCTCTCTCTCTCTCTCTCTCTCTCTCTCTTTTACAGGTGCATTCTCTCTCTCTCTCTCTCTCTCTTTTACAGGTGCATTCTCTCTCTCTCTCTTTACAGGTGCATTCTCTCTCTCTCTATTACAGGTGCATCTCTCTCTCTCTCTCTCTCTCTCTCTCTCTCTCTCTCTCTTTTTACGGGTGCACTCTCTCTCTCTCTCTCTCTCTCTCTCTCTCTCTCTCTTATTCCCAAAAGAGAAACATCATTATTGTCATTATATCATCAAATATTATTACACATTATCATTATTATCATTGTTATTAGCATTATCATCACTAATTGCTTATTAATCTCATTATTATCAATATAAACATCATCATCACTGGCATTAGTATCATCTTCACCACCACCATCATAACCATTATTATCACCATCATTATCATTACACATCATAACCATCATCATCATTATCACTGGCATTAGTATCATCTTCACCACCACCATCATAACCATTATTATCACCATCATTATCATTACACATCATAACCATCATCATCATCATCACTGGCATTAGTATCATCCTCACCACCACCATCATAACCATTATTATCACCATCATTATCATTACACATCATAACCATCATCATCATTATCACTGGCATTAGTATCATCTTCACCACCACCATCATAACCATTATTATCACCATCATTATCATTACACATCATAACCATCATCATTATAACAAGCATCACTATCATCATCATCATTGCTCATCACAGCTAAATGTTCTTCAGGGTCTATGGATGATGACATCAGGGCGGTTCAAGAACAAGTCGCTGAGATTGTGGCCAACTCCCACCCTGAACTGTACATCCTGGCACCCTTCAACGACCCAGGTAAGCCAAGTGCCCCTCCGAAACCAGGGTCAGGTCACGTGTCATCTATGTCAGGTCACGTGTCTTCTAGGTCAGGTCACGTGTCCTCTAGGTCAGGTTACGTGTCCTCTAGGTCAGGTCACGTGTCCTCTAGGTCAGGTTACGTGTCTTCTAGGTCAGGTCACGTGTCTTCTAGGTCAGGTCACGTGTCTTCTAGGTCAGGTCACGTGTCTTCTAGGTCAGGTCACGTGTCTTCTAGGTCAGGTCACGTGTCTTCTAGGTCAGGTCACGTGTCTTCTAGGTCAGGTCACATGTCTTCTAGGTCAAATATACTTTACATCAGGTCAATTACATTCTAGGTCACGTCTAATACACTCTATGTAAGGTCAAATACATTCTAGGTCAGGGCACTTGCCTTCTAGGTCAGGTTAAGTGACATTTAGGTTAGTTTGAGTTTGGTTTGGGTTAGGTTAGGTTAGGTTTCGGGCGTGTTAAACTAATCAGGTTTTACCTAGGTGTGATTGGTTAGGTTAAATTTAGGTTAGTTAGGTTAGGTTAGGTTAGAGTTGGAGTTGGATTAGGTTAGGTTAAGTTAAAAAAATCAAGTTAGGACCAACAGGTACAACCAAGTTAGACCAAAGTGAGTCAGATTCTGGTAAGTTAAGACCCCAAGCCTAATTAACCAACCAACGACCACCTGTAACACCTCCTACCTGGTCATCCTGCAGAAGTGGGACCTCTCCTGGTGACGGACAACGCGCAGGAGTTTCTCGATGCTGTCAATGCTCTGGTCCCCGGCGGAGGTGGTGACGAGCCTGAGCTGTTCTGGGGAGGTCTTCAGGTAGGCGGTCCAAGCTGCTCCTCTGAAATATAATTGAAGTTACTTGTCTGTTGAGTGCATTCCTGTCTTGTTTGGTGTACGTCTGGTAACCTAAAAGCAACGCAACTTAACCTAAAGTAACATAACTTAACCTAAAGTACCGTAACTAAACCTAAAGTAAAATAACGTAACCTAAAGTAACGTTACTTAACCTAAAGTAACATCATAACCTTAAGTAATAATGTAACCTAAAGTAACATAACGTAACCTAAAGTAACGTAACTTAACCTAAAGTAACATAACGTAACCTAAAGTAACGTAACTTAACCTAAAGTAACGTAACTTAACTTTAAATAACATAACGTAACCTAAAGTAACATAACTTAACCTAAAGTAACATAACGTAACGTAATTTTACCTAAAGTAACGTAACATAAAGCAACGCAACTTAACCTAAAGTAACCTATAGTAATATAACCTAACTTAAATTAATATAACCTAACCTAAAGTAACATAGCATAACCCAGCCTAACTTAACCTAACCTAAAGTAGTGTGACATAACCCAGCCTAACTTAACCTAACCTAAAGCAGTGTGACATAACCCAGCCTAACTTAACCTAACCTAAAGCAGTGTGACATAACCCAGCCTAACTTAACCTAACCTAAAGCAGTGTGACATAACCCAGCCTAACTTAACCTAACCTAAAGTAGTGTAATGTAACCCAGCCTAACTTAACCTAACCTAAAGTAGTGTAATGTAACCCAGCCTAACTTAACCTAACCTAAAGTAGTGTAATGTAACCCAGCCTAACTTAACCTAACCTAAAGCAGTGTGACATAACCCAGCCTAACTTAACCTAACCTAAAGCAGTGTGACATAACCCAGCCTAACTTAATCTAACTTAAAGCAGTGTGACATAACCCAGCCTAACTTAACCTAACCTAAAGCAGTGTGACATAACCCAGCCTAACTTAATCTAACTTAAAGCAGTGTGACATAACCCAGCCTAACTTAACATAACCTAAAGTAGTGTAACATAACCCAGCCTAACTTAACCTAACCTAAAGTAGTGTAATGTAACCCAGCCTAACTTAACCTAACCTAAAGTAGTGTAATGTAACCCAGCCTAACTTAACCTAACCTGAAGTATCGTAACTTAACCTAAAGTAACGTAACTTAACCTAAAGTAACAATATAACCTAGGGTAACATAACTTAACCTAAAGCAGTGTGACACAAATCCAGCCTAACCTTAAACTAATCCCAAAGCAGTGACAGCAACCCAGCCCAACTTAACTCCAACCCCAAAGCAGTGTGACAACCCAGCCCAACTTAACCCAACCCAAAGTAGAAAGTGACACAACCCAGTCTAATCTCAACTCTGAACCCAAAGTAGTGTAATGTAACCCAGCCTAACTTAACCTAACTAAAGTAGTGTAATGTAACCCAGCCTAACTTAACCTAACCTAAAGCAGTGTAACATAACCCAGCCTAACTTAACCTAACTAAAGTAGTGTAATGTAACCCAGCCTAACTTAACCTAACCTAAAGCAGTGTGACATAACCCAGCCTAACTTAACCTAACCAAAGTAACATAGCATAACCCAGCCTAACTCAACCCAACCTAAAGCAGTGTAACATAACCCAGCCTAACTTAACCTAACCTAAAGCAGTGTAACATAACCCAGCCTAACTTAACCTAACCTAAAGTAACATAGCATAACCCAGCCTAACTTAACCTAACCTAAAGCAGTGTAACATAACCCAGCCTAACTTAACCCAACCTAAAGCAGTGTAACATAACCCAGCCTAACTTAACCTAACCTAAAGTAACATAGCATAACCCAGCCTAACTTAACCTAACCTAAAGCAGTGTAACATAACCCAGCCTAACCTAACCTAACCTAAAGCAGTGTAACATAACCCACCAATCCTAACCTAACCTAAAGTAACATAGCATAACCCAGCCTAACTTAACCTAACCTAAAGCAGTGTAACATAACCCAGCCTAACTTAACCTAACCTAAAGCAGTGTGACATAACCCAGCCTAACTTAAACCTAACCTAAAGTAACATAGCATAACCCAGCCTAACTTAACCTAACCTAAAGCAGTGTACATAACCCAGCCTAACTTAACCTAACCTAGTAACATAGCATAACCCAGCCTAACTTAACCTAACCTCAAAGCAGTGTAACATAACCCAGCCTAACTAACCAACCTAAAGCAGTGTAACATAACCCAGCCTAACTTAACCCAACCCAAAGTAGTGTGACATAACCCAGCCTAACTTAACCCAATCCAAAAGTAGTGTGACATAACCCAGCCTAACTTAACCTAACCTAAAGTAGTGTAACATAACCCAGCCTAACTTAACCTAACCTAAAGCAGTGTAACATAACCCAGCCCAACTTAACCTAACCTAAAGCAGTGTAACATAACCCAGCCTAACTTAACCTAACCTAAAGCAGTGTGACATAACCCAGCCTAACTTAACCTAACCTAAAGCAGTGTGACATAACCCAGCCTAACCTAACCTAACCTAAAGTAACATAGCATAACCAGCCTAACTTAACCTAACTTAAAGCAGTGTAATGCAACCCAGCCTAACTTAACCTAACTAAAGTAGTGTAATGTAACCCAGCCTAACCTTTACCTAACCTAAAGTAGTACATAACCCAGCCTAACTTAACCCAACCTAAAGCAGTGTGACATAACCCAGCCTAACTTAACCCAACCTAAAGTAACATAGCATAACCCAGCCTAACTTAACCTAACCTAAAGCAGTGTAACATAACCCAGCCTAACTTAACCCAACCTAAAGTAAATAGCATAACCCAGCCTAACCTAACTCCAACCTAAAGCAGTGTAACATAACCCAGCCTAATTAACCTAACCTAAAGCAGTGTAACATAACCCAGCCTAACTTAACCCAACCTAAAGTAGTGACATAACCCAGCCTAACTTAACCTAACCTAAAGTAGTGTGACATAACCCAGCCTAACCTAACCTAACCTAAAGTAGTGTAACATAACCCAGCCTAACTTAACCTAACCTAAAGCAGTGTAACATAACCCAGCCCAACTTAACCTAACCTAAAGCAGTGTAATATAACCCAGCCTAACTTAACCTAACCTAAAGCAGTGTGACATAACCCAGCCTAACTTAACCTAACCTAAAGCAGTGTGACATAACCCAGCCTAATTAACCTAACCTAAAGTAACATAGCATAACCCAGCCTAACTTAACCTAACTTAAAGCAGTGTAATGTAACCCAGCCTAACTTAACCTAACTAAAGTAGTGTAATGTAACCCAGCCTAACTTTTACCTAACCCAAAGTAGTGACATAACCCAGCCTAACCTAATCTAACCTAAAGTAGTGAGACATAACCCAGCCCAACTTAACCAAACCTAAAGCAGTGTGACATAACCCAGCCTAACTTAATCTAACCTAAAGTAGTGTGACATAACCCAGCCTAACTTAACCTAACCTAAAGCAGTGTGACATAACCCAGCCTAACTTAACCAAACTTAAAGTAGTGACATAACCCAGCCTAGCATAACCTAACTTAAAGCAGTGTAACATAACCCAGCCTAACCTAACCTAACCTAAAGCAGTGTGACATAACCCAGCCTAATTAACCTAACCTAAAGCAGTGTGACATAACCCAGCCTAACTTAACCTAACCTAAAGCAGTGTGACATAACCCAGCCTAATTAATCTAACCTAAAGCAGTGTGACATAACCCAGCCTAACTTAACCTAACCTAAAGTAACATAGCATAACCCAGCCTAACCTAACCCAACTTAAAGCAGTGTAATGTAACCCAGCCTAACTTAACCTAACTTAAAGTGTAATGTAACCCAGCCAACTTAACCTAACAAAGTAGTGTAATGTAACCCAGCCTAACTTCACTCCCAACCTAAAGCAGTGTAACATAACCCAGCCTAACCTAATCCAACCTAAAGCAGTGTAACATAACCCAGCCTAACTTAACCTAACCTAAAGCAGTGTGACATAACCCAGCCTAACTTAACCAAACCTAAAGCAGTGTAACATAACCCAGCCTAACTTAACCTAACCTAAGCAGTGTGACATAACCCAGCCTAACTTAACCTAACCTAAAGCAGTGTGACATAACCCAGCCTAACTTAACCTAACCCAAAGTAACAGCATAACCCAGCCTAACTTAAACTAACCTAAAGCAGTGTAATACCCAGCCTAACTTAACCAAACCTAAGCAGTGTGACATAACCCAGCCTAACAACCTAACCTAAAGCAGTGTAACATACCAGCCTAACTTAACCTAACCTAGTAGTGTAACATAACCCAGCCTAACTTAACCTAACCTAAAGTAGTGTAACTAACCCTTAACAACCTAAAGCAGTGTGACACAACAGCCTAACTTAACCTAACCAAAGTAACATAACCCGCTAACTTACCTAACCTAAAGCAGTGTAACGTAACCCAGCCTAACTTAACCTAACTTAAAGCAGTGTGACATAACCCAGCCTAACTTAACCTAACTAAAGCAGTGTAATGTAACCCAGCCTAACTTAACTAACCTAAAGCAGTGTAATGTAACCCCAACTTAAAGCAGTGACTAACCCAGCCTACAACCAACCTAAAGCAGTGTAATGTACCCACCACAACCTAAAGCAGTGTGACATAACCCAGCCTAACTAACCTAACCTAAAGCAGTGTAACATAACCCAGCCTAACTTAACCTAACCTAAAGTAGTGTAATGTAACCCAGCCTAACTTAACCTAACCTACCGCAGCTGGCCCTGTCGGTAACCTAACTTAACCTAACCTACCACAGCTGGCCATGTCGGTAACCTAACCCTAACCTACCGCAGCTGGCCCTGTCGGTAACACTAATAACCTAACCTACCACAGCTGGCCTGTCGGTAACCCTAACTTAACCTAACCTACGCAGCTGGCCTGTCGGTAACCTAACTTAACCTAACCTACCGCAGCTGGCCCCTGTCGGAACAACTGAACCTAACCTACGCAGCTGGCCCGTCGGTAACCTAATAACCTAACCTACCGCAGCTGGCCTGTCGGTAACCTAACTTAACCTAACCTACCGCAGCTGGCCTGTGTAACCAATAACCTAACCTACCACACCGCTGTCGGTAACCTAACTTAACCTAACCTACGGCAGCTGGCCATGTCGGTAACCTAACTAACCTAACCTACCACAGCTGGCCCTGTCGGTAACTACTTAACCTAACCTACCACAGCTGGCCCTGTCGGGGCACCAGAGTACGGGGACATCTTCTGCTTCACCGACGCTCACGGCAAAGACGGCATACTCATGGAGTCCCTGATTTCTCTTGCTCTGACCCGCAACAATAAGGTACGTCAAGGTCGACCTCAAATACCTCAAGGTCGACCTCAAATACCTCTATCTCTACCTCAAGGTCGACCTCAAATACCTCTATCTCTACCTCAAGGTCGACCTCAAATACCTCCATCTCTACCTCAAGGTCGACCTCAAATACCTCCATCTCTACCTCAAGGTCGACCTCAAACATATGGGAACCTGCAGATTAATTGTAGAATATAGCAAATTGGTCATACTGTATTACCTTGAATATAAATCCCCTTTTATTACCTAGATAAATCCCCCTTACTACCTAAATAAATTACCATTACCTAGATAAATCCCCCTATATTACCTAGATAAATCCCCCTAATTACCTAGATAAATCCCCCTACATTACCTAGATAAATCCCCCCAATTACCTAAATAAATCCCCCTACCTTGAATATTAATCCCCCAAAGGTAACCACCATCCTTAGCGACCTATTGGGTAAGGAAGGCTCTGAAGGGGACATTATCACAGGCGTCAAAGAATATCAAAGGTTAGCTGATTCGACTGGGGGTCTACTCATCAACACCAATAAATTCGACGTCCACGATATTGTCAACATCATCGGCGGTGGAGTCGAGTCGTCTACGGTGAGGAGGAGACGTAATGTGTTTGTTGACGTCTTGTTGTGTATGGTTAAGATATAGTAATGTTTTTGTTGACGTCTTGTTGTGTATGGTTAAGATATAATGTTTTTGTTGACGTCGTGTTGTGTATGGTTAAGATATAGTAATGTTTTTGTTGACGTCTTGTTGTGTATGGTTAAGATATAATGTTTTTGTTGACGTCTTGTTGTGTATGGTTAAGATATAGTAATGTTTTTGTTGTATATGCGGTAATGAAGATATAATGTTTTTAGTTGGATTCTATATGTTTTTGCATGTGGCTATGGAATATTGTTTCTGTCTTCTATGTCCAGGTAACATATTGTTTTTGTCTTGTATATAGGACTGACATATTGATTTTGTCTTCTACATAGGACTGACACATATAATAATCCAGGTAATTCAAAAGTTAATTGATTTTATGTCACAGGTAAACATCATCAACTTGGTGGGAATATCTGGGGAGAGGTTGAAGGTGCTGCCTGTTGATGATTCCATAGTCGACCTCCAGGTACAGATTACGGGGGCTGTCAACACGGCTGTTATCATTGATGCTAAGGGTGAGTCAACGGTGGGTGGCTTGTGGGTGGCGTGTGGGTGGCTTGAGGGTGGCGTGTGGGTGGCGTGTGGGTGGCTTGAGGGCAAAGCTATTGTTTTTGTTTATCAAATGTCCCTCTCATGTATACTCCTCTATACTGATGTCCCTCTCATGTATACTCCTCTATACTGATGTCCCTCTCATGTATACTCCACTATACCGATGTCCCTCTCATGTGTACTCCTCTATACTGATGTCCCTCTCATGTATACTCCACTATACTGATGTCCCTCTCATGTATACTCCACTATACTGATGTCCCTCTCATGTATACTCCACTATACTGATGTCCCTCTCATGTATACTCCACTATACTGAAGTCCCTCTCATGTATACTCCACTATACTGATGTCCCTCTCATGTATACTCCTCTATACTGATGTCCCTCTAATGTATACTCCTCTATACTGATGTCCCTCTCATGTATACTCCTCTATACTGATGTCCCTCTCATGTATACTCCTCTATTCTGATGTCCCTCTCATGTATACTCCTCTATACTGATGTCCCTCTCATGTATACTCCTCTATTCTGATGTCCCTCTCATGTATACTCCTCTATACTGATGTCCCTCTCATGTATACTCCTCTATACTGATGTCCCTCTCATGTATACTCCTCTATACTGATGTCCCTCTCATGTATACTCCACAATACCGATGTCCTCCTCATGTATACCCCACTATACCGATGTCCCAATTCATGCATACTCCACTATACCGATGTCCCTCTATGCATACTCCACTATACCGATGTCCCTCATGTATACTCCTTTCATACCGATGTCCTCTCATGCACAACACTCCACTATACCGATGTCCTCTCATGTATACCCACAATACCGATGTCCCTCTCATGCATACCCACTATACCGCCGATGTCCCTCTATGTATACCCACTATACCGATGTCCCTCTCATGTATATCCACTATACCGATGTCCTCTCATGTATACTCCACTATACCGATGTCCCTCTCATGTATAATACTCCACTATACCGATGTCCCTCTCATGCATAATTTATACCGATGTCCTCTATGTATACCCACTATACCGATGTCCTCTCTATGTATATCTACAATACCGATGTCCCTCTCTATGCATACTCCACTATACCGATGTCCCTCTCATGCATACTCCACTATACCGATGTCCTCTCATGCATAATTCCACTATACCGATGTCCCTCTCATGCATACCCACAATACCGATGTCCCTCTCATGTATACCAATACCGATGTCCTCCCCATGTATACCCACTATACCGATGTCCCCCTCATGGCTACCCACTATACCGATGTCCCTCTCATGTACCTTCATTCTGATGTCCCTCTCATGTACACTCCACTACACAGATGTCCCTCTCATGTATACTCCTCTATACTGATGTCCCTCTCATGTATACTCCTCTATACTGATGTCCCTCTCATGTATACTCCACTATACCGATGTCCCTCTCATGTATACTCCACTATACCGATGTCCCTCTCATGTATACTCCTCTATACTGATGTCCCTCTCATGTATACTCCTCTATACTGATGTCCCTCTCATGTATACTCCTCTATACTGATGTCCCTCTCATGTATACTCCTCTATACTGATGTCCCCCTATGTATACCTCTATACTGATGTCCCTCTCAGTATAATTCTTCATACTGATGTCCCTCTCTATGTATACCCTATATACTGATGTCCCTCTCTATGTATACTCCACTATTCTGATGTCCTCCTCATGTATAATTCTCTATACTGATGTCCCTCTCATGTATACTCCTCTATTCTGATGTCCCTCTCATGTATACTCCACTATTCTGATGTCCCTCTCATGTATACTCCACTATTCTGGTGTCCCTCTCATGTATACTCCTCTATACTGATGTCCCTCTCATGTATACTCCTCTATTCTGATGTCCCTCTCATGTATACTCCTCTATACTGATGTCCCTCTCATGTATACTCCACTATTCTGATGTCCCTCTCATGTATACTCCTCTATACTGATGTCCCTCTCATGTATACTCCTCTATTCTGATGTCCCTCTCATGTATACTCCACTATTCTGATGTCCCTCTCATGTATACTCCACTATTCTGATGTCCCTCTCATGTATACTCCTCTATACTGATGTCCCTCTCATGTATACTCCTCTATTCTGATGTCCCTCTCATGTATACTCCCTCATTCTGATGTCCCTCTATGTATACCCACTATTCTGATGTCCTCTCATGTATAATACCCACTATTCTGATGTCCCTCTATGCATAATTTCATACTGATGTCCCTCTCATGTATACTCCACTCATTCTGATGTCCCTCTCATGTACACTCCACTATTCTGATGTCCCTCTCAAGGTATGCTCCTCTATACTGATGTCCCTCCTCATGGTATTTCATTCTGATGTCCCTCTCATGTACCCACTATTCTGATGTCCCTCTCATGTATACCCACTATTCTGGTGTCCCTCCTCATGTATACCTCTATACTGATGTCTCCTCATGTATACCTCTATTCTGATGTCCCTCTCTATGTATAATAACGCACTATTCTGATGTCCCTCTCATGTATAATACCCACTATTCTGATGTCCTCTCATGTATACTCTCATACCATGTCCCTCTCTATGCATAATTCACTATACCGATGTCCCTCTCTATGTATAATTCTCTCTACCGGATGCCCTCTCATGTATACCTCTATACTGATGTCCTCTCCTCATGTATACTCCACTATACCGATGTCCCTCTCATGTATACTCCCATATACAAAAGCCATTCTTGTATGTATACTCTCAATAGGAAGAATTAAGCGAGTGTTGATCTATCCACAGTGAACGACACAGGTTGGATCTATCCACAGGAACGATACAGTGTTGATCTATTCACAGGAACGACACAGTGTTGATCTATCCACAGGAACGACACAGTGTTGATCTATCCACAGGAACGACACAGTGTTGATCTATCCACAGGAACGACACAGTGTTGATCTATCCACAGGAACGACACAATGTTGATCTATCCACAGGAACGACACAGTGTTGATCTATCCACAGGAACGACACAGTGTTGATCTATCCACAGGAACGACACAGTGTTGATCTATCCACAGTAACGACACAGTGTTGATCTATCCACAGTAACGACACAGTGTTGATCTATCCACAGGAACGACACAATGTTATTCTATCCACAGGAACGACACAATTAGATCTATCCAGTAGGAACAAATTACAGATATATTAATCTAAATATTTCCCCACAGGAATAACTTACAACCTGATGGATAAAGCGTCCCTGGAGGCGGCCGACAATGTAGAGGTGGTCTCCTACACAAACACCTTCAGGGCCATCAAGTGGACGTCTCCGAGCTACGGGCAGTGGAACCTCACTACCAACGGCCCGACCTCCTACAGCGTGGAGGTCTTCGCCACCTCTCCACTCGACTTCCTGGCCGAGTTCTCCGTGCTCGACCCCTCGCCCCCACACCCTCATTACCGCCACGTCACCGGTCGACCTCTGATGAGTGAGTGTGTTGATCGTCTCACTCATACTCACGTCCACTAATACTCAGTTATGAGAATATTCTTCACTTGACTCATATTACTCATCATTTCACCAACAATACTCATCATTTCACCAACATAACTCATCATTTCACCAACAATACTCATCATTTCACCAACAATACTCATCATTTCACCAACAATACTCATCATTTCACCAACATTACTCATTCACCAATTAACACCACTATTCACCACACCATCATTTCACCAACAATACCTCAATCATTCTCACCAACATTACTCACCATCACCAACAACACCACTCATTCTCACCAACAATACCATCATTTCACCAACAATACTCATCATTTCACCAACATTACTCATCATTTCACCAACATTACCTCATCATTTCACCAACAATACTCCACCATTTCACCCACCATAACTCATCATTTCACCAACAATACTCATCATTTCACCAACATTACTCACCATCACCAACAATACTCATCATTTCACCAACAATACTCATCATTTCACCAACATTACTCACCATCACCAACAATACTCATCATTTCACCAACATTACTCATCATTTCACCAACATTACTCATCATTTCACCAACAATACTCACCATCACCAACAGACACCGTGTACTACCTGGAGCTGACACTGGTTGGGTACCTAGAGGGCCACGTGGACGATCTTGATTCGATTTACTTCCTCGATATGGTAAGTTAATTAAACCACCTGAAGATTAGACCCCCAGCTTGTTTTGCCTGAAGATTAGACCCCCAGCTTATTTTGCCTGAAGATTAGACACCCCAGCTTGTTTTGCCTGAACATTAGACCCCCCAGCTTGTTTTGCCTGAAGATTAGACACCCCAGCTTGTTTTGCCTGAAGATTAGACACCCCAGCTTGTTTTGCCTGAAGATTAGACACCCCAGCTTGTTTTGCTCGGAAGATTAGATACTCCCAGCTTATTTTGCCTGAAGATTAGACCCCCAGCTTGTTTTGCCTGGAAGATTAGACACTTCTTGTATTGTTTTTGCCTGAAGATTAGACACCCCAGCTTGTTTTGCCTGGAAGATTAGACCCCAGCTTATTTTGCCTGAAGATAGACCCCCCAGCTTGTTTGCCTGAAGATTAGACACCCCAGCTTGTTTTTGCTCTGGAAGATTAGACCCCAGCTTGTTTTGCCTAAGATTAGACACTTCAGCCTTCTTATTTTTGCCTTGAAGACAGACACCACAGCTTGTTTTGCTCGAAGATTAGACCCCCAGCTTGTTTTGCCTGAAGATTAGACCCCCAGCTTATTTTGCCTGAAGATTAGACACCCCAGCTTGTTTTGCCTGAACATTAGACCCCCCAGCTTGTTTTGCCTGAAGATTAGACACCCCAGCTTGTTTTGCCTGAAGATTAGACACCCCAGCTTGTTTTGCCTGAAGATTAGACACCCCAGCTTAATTCACTTCAAAATTAACCACCCTAATGTTAATATATTCTAATTTAATTAAACTTTATCCATCATGCTATCCACCCTTCACCTACCCTCCCATACCTAGCCATCATCAACCACCTTCTCTCACCTATCCACCTACCCTCACACACCTAGCCATCATCAACCACCTTCTTTCACCTATCCACCTACCCTCACACACCTAGCCATCATCAACCACCTTCTCTCACCTATCCACCTCCCACCTACCCTCACACACCTAGACATCATCAACCACCTTCTCTCACCTATCCACCTACCCTCACACACCTAGCCATCATCAACCACCTTCTCTCACCTATCCACCTCCCATCTACCCTGGACAGAAAGGGTACGAACTACGAAACATCATTTACAGCGGCAACGTCAGCGATCACATGTACATCCGCACCGAGCCGTTACCTGAGGAGTCATTCTTCGTGTGCATTACCGGCCACCTCAAGACAGGTATAGGGGGGGGGGTAGGTGTGGTAAGGTAAGGTCACTTCAGGTCAGGTAGGGTATAGTCAGGTAAGGATAGCTCAGTTGGGTAGGGCAAGGTAAGATAAGGTCAGATTAGGTTACATCACGTTGGTTAGGTTAGAATATATACAACAGCTGGGTCAATACAGGTCAAAAAATAGGTCACATACAAGTAAAAAACACGTCACGTACAGGTCATATACAGGTCAAAAAGAGGTCACATACAGGACAAAAATAAGTCATATGTCAAAAAAGGTCATATACAGGTCAAAAACAGGTCACATACAGGTCACACACATATATATACTCAACTGGGAACTGTAACAGGTTTTCGGCCGAGTGAACCCAACCAAACCCATCCATCGAAAGTGAATGGACGTTGGGACCCATAAATTGTTCCCCAAACATGCAGGAGGTGGAGATAAGACCCATAATCTCAAACAAGACCCCATAAATATAAACAAGACCCCATAATTACAAACAAGATCCCATAAATACAAACAAGACCCCATAAATACAAACAAGACCCCATAAATACAAACAAGACCCCATAAATACAAACAAGACCCCCATAAATACAAACAAGACCCCATAAATACAAACAAGACCCCATAAATATAAACAAGACCCCATAAATATAAAACAAGACCCCATAAATACAAACAAGACCCCATAAATACAAACAAGACCCATAAACACAAACAAGACCCATAAATACAAACAAGACCCCATAAATACAAACAAGACCCATAAATACAAACAAGACCCCATAAACACAAACAAGATCCCATAAATACAAACAAGACCCTATAAATACAAACAAGACCCCCATAAATACAAACAAGACCTCATAAATACAAACAAGACCCCATAAATATATACAAGACCCCATAAATAGAAAATACCCCTAAATACAAACAAGACCCCATAAGTAAAAACAAGACCCCATAAATACAAACAAGACCCCATAAATACAAACAAGACCCCATAAATATAAACAATACCCCATAAATACAAAACAAGACCCTATAATTAAAACAAGACCCCATAAATACAAACAATAATCTATAAATACAAACAAGACCCCATAATTACAAACAAGACCCCATAAATACAAACAAGACCATAATCACAAACAAGACCCCATAAATACAAACAAGACCCCATAAATACAAACAAGACCCTATAAAATAAATGACCCCATAAATACAAACAAGACCCCATAAATACAAACAAGACCCCATAAATACAAACAAGACCATAAATACAAACAAGACCCTATAAATACAAACAAGACCCCATAAATACAAACAAGACCCCATAAATACAAAACAAGACCCTATAAATACAAAACAAGACCCCATAAATACAAAATACAAACAAGACCCTAAATAAATATAAACAAGACCCCATAAATACAAACAAGACCCCATAAATACAAACAAGACCCCATAAATACAAACAAGACCCCATAAATATAAACGAGACCCCATAAATACAAACAAGACCCCATAAATATAAACAAGACCCCATAATTAAAAAAGATCCATAAATACAACAAGACCCATAAATATAAACAAGACCCATAATAAACAAGACCCCATAAATACAAACAATACCCATAAATACAAACAAGACCCCATAAATATAAACAAGACCTAATAAATACAAACAAGACCTAAATACAAAAAGACCCTATACAAACAAGACCCATAAATACAAACAAGACCCCAAAAATATAAACAAGACCCCATAAATACAAACAAGACCCCATAAATACAAACAAGACCCCATAAATATAACGAGACCCCATAAATACAAACAAGACCCCATAAATATAAACAAGACCCCATATTACAAACAAGATCCCATAAATACAAACAAGACTTATAAATAAAACAAGACCCCATAAATATATACAAGACCCCATAAATACAAACAAGACCCCATAAATACAAACAAGACCCCATAAATACAAACAAGACCCCATAACCTGTTCCTCCCCCGACAGGTAAGCAATACGAGAGGGTCCAGGTGGTCTTGGTAACGCCGGTGGAGACGAGCGTCGAGGTGTGGGCCTGAGGACCTCAGCCCGGCCAGGGGAGACAGCCAAGCCGTTCATCGTGCGAAACTTTGGCCTCGAGTCTTACTTCGGCATTACTGGGACTGATGATCTTGGCTTCCTTACCTCCGTCAACCCCAAGAGGTATAGCCCCTCCTCCCTCACTCACCCTTTCTCCCTCCCTCTCCTCCAACATCACCTCCCTCACTCACCCTTTCTCCCTCCCTCTCTCCAAATCACCTCCTGCACACCCCTCCTCCTCTCCTCCAACATCACCTCCCTCACTCACCTCTTCCCCTCCCTCCTCCTCCAACACCACCTCCCTCACCACCCCTCCTCCTCCAACACCTCCTCCTTCACTACCCTCCTCCACCAACACCACCTCCTCACCTCACCCCTCCCTCCTCCAACATCACTTCCCTCACTACCCTCCTCCTCCAACACCACCTCCCTCACTACCTCCTCCAACCTACCTCCCCTCACCACCCTCCTCCACCTCACCACCCTCCACTACCCCTCCTCCCTCCAACACCACCTCCTCACTACCACTTCTCCTCCCACCACCTCCCCTCCTACCCTCCTCCTCCAACACCACCTCCTCACTACCCTCCTCCTCCAACACCACCTCCCTCACTACCCTCCTCCTCCAACACCACCTCCCTCACTACCCCTCCTCCTCCAACACCACCTCCTCACCACCCTCCTCCACCAACACCACCTCCCCACTACCCTCCTCCTCCAACACCACCTCCTCACTACCCCTCTCCCTCCAACACCACCTCCCTCACCACCCCTCCTCCTCCAACACCACCTCCCTACTACCCCTCCTCCACCACCTCCCTCACCACCCCTTCCTCCACCACCTCCCTACTACCCTCCTCCTCCAACACCACCCTCCCTCACTACCCTCCTCCTCCAACACCACCTCCCTCACTACCCCTCCTCCCTCCAACACCACCTCCCTCACTACCCCTCCCTCCACCAACACCACCTCCTCACTCACCCTCCTCCACCAACACCACCTCCCTCACCACCCTCCTCCACCAACACCACCTCCCTACTACCCCCTCCTACTCCAACACCACCTCCTTCCCTACCCCTCCTCCTCCCAACAACAACATCCCTTGATAAGCTGTTGCTTATCCGATTCTCACCTCCAACACCTGTCTCACTCCCACCATAACACCTCCAACACCTGTCTCCTCCCACCACCAGAACGTACCTGGGGACAAACGTGACAGTAGAGGTGGCATTTCACCGTGCTATAGACGCTCTGCCAGGTCAGGTTAGCACAGTCATCATCACAGCTCAGAGTGAGACCCAAGTTCACTCAGTTAACAGCACATCAACTTCAGCAATCGTCTTGGCATCTGTAAGTAAATATAAGCTAATGTACTTTAATTCACAACAAATGTAAATAGAAATAGTAAATATAATCCATGGTAATTATTGTACATCATGGTAATCATGGTTTTAGAGTGTTAGGTAATTTTGAGACATGTAAAGTAGGCCTTTCAGTATTATGTATTTGATTGACCATTAGCACTATAAGTTATCAACACAGTGTAACTATGACCATCCACCACTAACTCCCAAGCTAACGACCACCCAGCTAACTTGACCACCGAACCACCATCCCACCAGCTAACATGACCATCCCAACAGCTAACTATAACCACCCCACCAGCTAACTATGACCATCCCACCAACTAACTATGACCATCCCACCACTAACATGACTTAAATACGTGGCCATCCACCAACACACCATCCCACCAACTAACTCAGACCATCCCACCAACTAACAATAAACATCCCACCAAACAACTATGACCATCCACCACCCCACCCACCAAAACACCATCACCAACTCAACAAACATCCACCAATAACTATGCATCCACACACCAACTATGACCATCCCACCAACTAACAACAAACATCCCACCCAACCAACCAGTCATCCCACCAGCTAACTATGACCATCCAACAACAGACCATCCCACCAACAACCACCAACTCATGACCATCCCAACTAACTATGACCATCCCACCAACTAACTATGACCATCCCACCAACTAACTGACCATCACCAACTAACTACATGACCATCCCACCAACAACTGCCAGCCATCCCACCAACTACCATGACCATCCCACCAACTAACTGACCATCACCAACTAACAACAAACATCCCACCAACTAACTATGACCATCCCACCCAACTCCAGCCATCCCAACTAACTACATGACCATCCCACCAACTAACTATGACCATCCCACCAACCAACTAACACCCACCCACAACACAAACCACCAACTGCATGACCATCCCACCAACCAACTATGACCATCCCCCAGCTAACAACAAACATCCACCAATAACTATGACCATCCCACCAACCGCTATGACCATCCACCAACCTGACCATCACCAACCGGACCATCACCAACTAACAACAAACATCCACCAACCAACTATGACCATCCACCACATCCCACCGCCAACTATGACCATCCCACCAACTAACTATGACCATCACCAGCTCACTCATGACCATCCCACCAACTAACAGACCATCCACCAACCTTATGACCATCCCACCCTAACTATGACCATCCCACCAACTATGACCATCCCACCAACAACTGACCATCACCAACTAACAACAAACATCCCGCAACTATGACACCACAGCTAACTATGACCATCCCCAACCCAACGCGACCATCACCAACTAACTATGACCATCACCAACTAACAACAAACATCCCCAACTAACTGACCATCCCACCAACCAACTTAATGCATCCCCCAACTAACACCCACCCAACACCACCACCACACCACCACAACTATGACCATCACCAACTAACTTGACCATCCCACCCCAACAACAAACGTCACCAACTAACCCATCCCACCAGCTACTTCACTGACCATCCCACCAACTAACTATGACCATCCCACCAACTAACAACAAACATCCCACCAACTAACTATGACCATCCCACCAACCAACTGACCATCCCACCAACTAACCATGACCATCCCACCAACCAACAACAAACATCCCACCAACCAACCATGACCATCCCACCAACCAACTATGACCATCCCACCAACTAACTATGACCATCCCACCAACCAACTATGACCATCCCACCAGCCAACTATGACCATCCCACCAACCAACTATGACCATCCCACCAACCAACTAATGACCATCCCACCAACCAACTAAGACCATCCCACAAACCAACAACCAAACATCCCACCAACCAACCATGACCATCCCACCAACCAACTATAAACCATCCCACCAACCAACTATGACCATCCCACCAACTAACTATAACCATCCCACCAACCAACCATGACCATCCCACCAACTAACTATGACCATCCCAACCAACAACAAACATCCCACCAACTAACTATGACCATCCCACCAACCAACTATGACCATCCCACCAACCAACTATGACCATCCCACCAACTAACTATGACCATCCCACCAGCCAACCATGACCATCCCACCAACCAACTATGACCATCCCACCAACCAACTAAGACCATCCCACCAACCAACCATGACCATCCCACCAACCAACTATGACCATCCCACCAACCAACTATGACCATCCCACCAACCAACCATGACCATCCCACCAACCAACTATGACCATCCCACCAACCAACTATGACCATCCCACCAACC